GAGTTCATGCAAACACAATATTAGCCTGTGTTTAGAATTTTGCGGGAATGAGGCTTTGGGGGGTGGGGGGGGGGGGGGGCGAGTGCCTTTGTTTTTTGAGGGATGATGGCGTGACCATGGCGTGGGTAGTCCGCCAGTACACTTTGGGAAGGTGGGGGTAGACAATTGTTGTGCTTTCATGGCTGGTGTTGTGATGGTTGGAGAGAGATGTTGGCCGTTGGCTGTGTCATGTCAACATGAGCGCATGCCTTGCACGCACCCCCCCCCCTCCCCCCCGCCCCACCTTCTTCGATAGCATATAAAATCCACTTGGGGTTTTTGACCGCGCGCGGGTCGTGTTCCTTGTTGTCTCGTTTCGATGTCAATTGCTATCCGCCTTCTCGCCATCTCACTTGCCTTTGCGTTTGTGTTGAGCTGGGTTTATGTCCTCGTTGACTTTTTTGTTTTTTCCGTGAACGAACGACAACGACGATGCAGGGCCAGCCGCCTTTCCAGCAGCAGCAGCAGCAGGCGCCGTTCCAGCAACAGCAGTTTCAGAGCGGCGGGCCTCCGCCGCAGCAGCGTGGTCCTCCTCGCGGCAGGGCTGACTTGCCTCCGGTGGAGAACATCACCGTGAGTTGTATGTGAATATCCTAAGGCAGGTAGTTGTTGTTTTGCTCACGTTAAAGACCGTTTCGGTCTCCGTGCGGTAGCTTGTGATATCCGTACATGTATATTGGTCGAACTGACGTGGACGGACGCCCCCGGTTCACAAGCCATTTTTTTTTTCTCTGAGAAATGGTGCGGTGCATGCAATCACAAAAAGCGTTCCTGCTTGAGGTAGTTGATCAATCTCAGGGATACGTATTTGAACCCCCCCCCCCCCCCCCCTCTTCCCTTTTTCCAGTTTACTTCCATCCGCCAGCTGAGCGCACCAGGCCTCACGAGTGCGTCGAAGCAGCCGGGAGGCATGCTGATGCTGGTGGACAACTCCGTGGTGGGGTCGATCATCGGCAAGGGAGGTCAAACCATCCGCAAGATCTCCCTGGAGAGCGGGTCCTCTATCCAGGTTCAGGGCCGTGATGAGCAGTCCCCCAGCCAGCTCGAGCGCCGGGTTACCATCACCTCGGTAAGTTTTTTTTGTAGGTGAATAATGTACAAAGCAATGCCCATTCAATACTACACGTACACATGTTAGATACACCAAAACAGGTCGATTTTTTTTTTTTCTTACAAAAACACGGCCAAGTAATCTCTTGTCATTTTTTTGTTGATGTGAAGAGAATAGGGGGGCTCGTTTGGTGGGTTTTCTCTGTGCTACGGCCGCAGATGAAGTAGCAACGTGGTCCGTGATCGTTTGTAACCCTTTTTGCCTTTGGCTGTGCTTTTTATGCCCCACCCGGTGTCCTGCTCATGGGTCCTGGGATATCGGGGCCCACCATCACGCAGACGGAAATCCCGTCGGTGATGGTTGTAGGGCAGGCGGTTGTAGCTGAAACTGCGGGTGCATGCATCCATCCCTAACGTCGCCCACCGTCCTGGCCTTTCGGTTTCCATCGTTCAATGGTTACCAAAACAGGACGAGATGCCGATTCTCATGAAGGCCGCCAACATGATCTGCGCAGTCCTGAGGAACGGCGAGCGGCTCGCCGCCGCCGCCCGCGAGGCGGCCGGAGGCGGCCGTGGCGACCGCGGCCCGCCCGGCAGCAACGGCAGCGGTGGCGGTGGCGGAGGCGACCGCAACCGCGGAGGCCCTGCGCCGTACAACCCGGCGGGCCCCCCTCAGTCTGCACAGCCGCAGCCTACCGCGGCCCCCGTCAACTACCAGTACCAGCAGGCGCCGCCGGTGAGTGGTGTCATTCGCGTGGGTTGGTGTCTGGTTGGAGGGTTTGGGGGCTACCGTTGTGGTGGGCTATAGTAGTTGTGGACGGGCAGGGGGGATCGGGTGCAGGTCGGGGTGTGAAGGAGGGACGTCATGAACCCCGTCGTTGGTTGCGTTATATCTCTTGTAGCTTTTGATTGGTGGCGGATGTTCGACCAGGCACAACTGCACGTAGTCACAATTTTGACCAAGATTTTGACGGAAGCGTCGTCCATCCGCAAAGGAAGTATTTGGGGGGGTGCCGTGGTGGTGGCATGCGTTGATCCAGTGTCGCACCTTGTGGTACATGACTCTGGGATAATATGCCCAAGGGTGTGGTGCTTTTCGAGTAGTCGCAAACCTCTAGTTCGAGCTTCGTTCCCGCTTCATTGCGAACAACCGTAATGGTTTCTGTGTAAATTGTCCCTATTCGTGTCTTGTCACACACCATGTGGCGTTGAATCATCAAAACCGGGTCGGTTGGCCGAAATGGCATGTTGGCCGATTATTTTTGCTCCGGTGTTGGCGATGCCGGTGGTATTGACCTCTTTGTGGGATATTGCATGCATATTGACCTCTTTTGGAACGGTGCAGGCAACGTTAGTGACCACCTCCCTCGCGTACGGCGTGCCTCCCCCCCCAATACACACACAGCAACAGCAGAACGTCCAGTACGCCCCAGCGCCGGCCATGCAATCCACCTACCCCGCTCAGCAGCAGGGGTTCGTTGCCCTCCAGGCGGCACCGGGGGCTCCTATCCAGCAGGTGCACGAAGTCTTAATGCAGTTGGAGGCGATGATGAGTTTGTGAAGCAATCGCTTTGTACTTGTCTCTAGATAACAGAATTTTGAGAGTTGGCGCTGTTTCCGACGCTTATTTTTTACCTTGGAGATGATCGAACAAACGATCACCCCCTCTGGTGCCTACTCTCCGACAGTTGGATTTCACAGAAGGTGCATACTGTTGCCCAGTATTGTTGTGAAGAGAAGAAAATATAACCACCCCAGACACAAAATTGTGTGTTTCGCTTCACGCTGAAGCCGATTCAACGACAGACGAACAACATATCCAACCATGCCAAAGCTCAATTTCATCACATGCCGTTTCACAGCCGGTGAGTTCCCACGTCGGATTCCGTCCAACTTAGTCCACCCCGCTAACGCGCCATCGAGGTGTATAGAGGCACCGGGGATTATTTTCCTCTTGTCCTATTTTGGACACATTCTAGTCACCCGTTCTCGCTGACTTGTTTTCGCCCTTCCTGACCTTGCATTGTTTTTTACTCGACGGCCGTCTGCGGCGCGGACTATGTTGCTCGAAACACGTTGTGCCGCCGCACCCACCAGGCGTACCAGCAGTACCCCGGACAGCAGGTGCAGCCCCAGAACCCGGGACAGCAGCAACAGCTCGCCCCGCAAGGCGTTCCGCAGCAGCAGCAGCAAGCGCCCCCCGCCCAGGGCGCTGCGGGTCAGTATGCCCCGCAGCAGCAGCAGCAGCAGCCGCCGCAGCAGCAGCAGGCGCCTCAGGCTCAGCAGCAGCAACCGGCTGCTGTGTTTTACCAGCAGGTGTGTAGAAGACACATCTGTTCAAGAGAGTGGAATTTTGTGAAACTGAATTGAAAACACCCTTTCCCAATGTATTTATTCGGTATCGTCGTGGTTGCGTTGGTGGAAGTTAACAGCAATTCATTTTTCAACGGCCTGGTCGAGCTATTATATTTGTTTGCGGTTGTCAACAATCCTGCTCACCTATGTTGTAAGCTTGGTTGTGAAATATCTTCCCCACCTGTATCGTAAGCTTCGAGACGCCCTCGGCGCGTGAAGTCCTTCGCATTTGGCTTGACGGAGGTCTCTCTTGCGTGAAACAACACCCACCTTCATTTCCACGCCTCGTTCAATGCAAGGTACGAATCATTATGGTTGGTTTCGGCCCGTCTCCCAAGGCGTGTCTGCTGTCACTGCAAAACATGTCGAATTGTGGTGGGCTGGGCGTAATCGCTTTTAATACATGCCGGGTCTAAGTGAATCCGTCTAAATCCTTTGATCACGGTCGTCTCTCTTGCCCATGTTGCAAAATCAGCCTGCTGGTGGAAACCCTTCTCAGGGCGGCCCGCAGGCAATCCAGTATGCGCAGGTCCAGCAGCCGCAGCAACAGCAGCAGCTGGGGCAGCCGCAGCAGCAGCAACAACAACAGGGCCTCCTGCAGCAGCAGCAACAGCCGCAGCAGCAGCAGCAGCAGCAGCCGCCGCAGCAGCCGCAGCAGCCGCAGCAACAGCAGCAGCAGCAGCAGCAGCAGCAGCAGCTCCCGGTGCAGCAGCTTCCGCTGCAAACCCAGCAGGGGCAGCAGCAGGGGCAGCAGCCGGTAGCATCATCGTCTGCTGCGGTGGCCACACCCGCGCCGGTGTACGGATGGGTGAGGAGGGGGGAGTTTTGGCGTGTCTTGAAATTAGTCTCGAGGGTTGCCTCCGACGAGATCCATTGCGTCAGGCCGTTTTTTCAGCATTCACTGACGTTTGACGAAGTGCACTGTCCATGACAGCACACTGCGTCGTGTATGGTTGCCTCCATTGAATCATGTGCCTAGAACTTTCTTGTCGAGCCTGTTACCCCCGGGGGGGGATACCGCTGTATGTTGCTCAGGGAACCGCAGAAAGAAAAGTTGGTCACTACAACACTTATTCAGGGCTAGCCCATGTACCACGGACTCTTACCCGTGGAAGAGATGGGTCTGTTGTGTTGTTTGTAAGAAACATAACGAATGTGCCTTCCCCTGTTGCATCCTTACTCCCGCCCTTGTTCGACTTTGGTTCGTGTGCTCCCCATTGTATGTTGCTTTCGACCAATGGCTGCGCCGTTCCGAACCCAGGTTTACGACCCGGCCACGGGAACTTACACTGCGGCCCCAGCGGCTGCGGCCCCAGCCCCTCAGGCGTCGTCTTTCAATGCCCAATCCCAGTACACCCAGCAGCAGCAGCAGCAGCCGCAGCAGCCGCAGCGTTAAACTGGTCTTCCCGTAAAGTGAAGTATTGCCTAAAGGTGAGGGGGTAGCTGTACGGACGGGCGTTGAGGGGTCCCGGTGACAAATGGTCTCGACCCAAGATCGAGTCACACATTCCATTACCACCTCTACAAGCGACAATCCGCACGAATCTGCTTTTGGGCCCACCTGGCAGAATGTTGTTTTGGACGAGCACCACACATTTGAATCTGGCATTATGTTTACCTCAGCATCCGTTAACGACAGGATGGTATGGTGGCTGTGTCTTGCCACGTTGTCTGTAAGTCGCAGTTCCCTCTGCTTTAACCTTGTTCCTCGACACAACCTGGATATAGCTTGGTTTCGCACCATAACCTCAACACCGACCACACGGTTTCTACATCGACCCAATAGAACTGACAGCACCTCTTCCACCCGCCCCCTCCACTCCCCATGTTATCCGGGGTATGGTGCACTGCACGTTCGCCTAAGCCGTGTTATGTTGCGTAGCCTGGCATCGACCAAACCGTACTGATTTTATTAACGCGTCTGCCCTTAGTGGCTTGTTTTGGTCACCACCCGTTTTCCCACAGCCCGTATCTGATTCGAAATTCACAAGTCTACTCGCACGCAGTTGATTCGTTTTTCATTTTCTTTTGTTTGTCTCCACCATCTCGTGCCGTGAACCTCACCACCTCGCGATTCCCGGCGGCAACTCACTCCTCCTAACCTGTCGCTACGCATTGCTCCTTTCTCGCGCCGCTTTACCCTCCACTCCTCTTTCGTTATTTACATGTCGGAACACACCTTCACTTCCGGATCGAATTTTCGATTGGAAGATCTACCCACAAAGCCTCCACAGATGGTTGGTTGGGAAAAGAAAGGGCACAGACGGAAGCGCACACACCGTAAGGTTCGAACCTAGCATTCGCCTTCAGTCGCGCGCAATCGGTTAGGCGCGTGCGCGCGTGCGCGCGTACAGGCGGTTTTTTCTCTTGCCCCCATTTTTCCGCCAAGATCCTCTACCATCTTCCTTCTTCGTCATGAAAGGCTGGCCGGCCTCAGACATAGTCTTTATCTACAGCGAACGCCGACGAGAGAGACAGACACCGATCGCCCCAAGCAGAGGCCAAGACACCGAACGCTAAGAGCAAAGACTCGTCAACATGGCATGGGATATCGAGATGGGGTTAAAGAAGGGATTACACGAGGCATGTGCTGTGCCGGTTTCTCCCCTGTGTTAAGTCAAGGTTAGCCTATCCAGACCTAGATTACTTGTTTTGTTTTTTCGGGATCGGTGTACCTCGGGCCGGATTTTTTTTTCATCTTTTCACGTGCCGAGTTTTGTGCGTACAGGAGCACGGAGTTTGCGTGTAGCGTCAATTTTCGTTTTTACAGAGATCCAGCAGTATGGTGTACGTGTTGAGGACACAGGACAGAGACAGCGGACAACCGTCCAGCATTAAGGAACAGGAAAACCAGGCGCCGGAGACAATCGGGATTTCGACTCAAGTTTTTGGAAAGGAAGAATGAAAACCTAGTCTCTTTGTCCCCAATGGAATTATCGCATAACCCAGATGGGCTTCGCCACGACTGCTGTGGCCAGATGTGATTTTGCACCGATTAGTGTAGTACCTCGTGGAACTAGTGTAACCGACGTCAAATTTGTGTACATGGTAAAATTGGTAATTTGGCACATCTTGTTTGCGGTGTACGACAGCACGGAACTGTTCGTCTGTAACCGACAGTGTGGACGACATCCAAAAGGAAAACACCGAAAGAGTCGTTGAAACCCCAGATCGTGGCATTTTTTCTTCCTATCGGTACTTCTGGTTCAATCATATTGGTTCGAGATTTAAAAAGTATATAAACGGGCTCGATATCCAGGGACTGGATTTTTTCTTGCGAGCAAACTTATGTAATGGGTTGTAGGAAAAGAACGGAGTTCACAGAGTCAAGTCAGGTGTCACCGTGTCCAAGCTTGTATCTTCGTCGTGGGAGTGTCGTGTCAGGATAATAGCATCCATCTGCGAACGGAAAATATTTAGCTCCCATCGCCGCACAAGGACGCTACCGTGCTCACGGTGGGTGACTCAGGGCCCTTGTCATCACGTTGTCATCACGGAGGGCAAAACAAAATGTCGCCACCACAGGTTACAGACCTACCGTTGGAGGCACATCGTCCGCACCTTTGGTAGGTGCAAGTTTCGGACCCAAAGTCGCGGTGTGGATCGCGACCAAAATCACTTTTTTCTCTTGTATCACCTTGGTGTGTACATTGCTCCCGTTTGCACGCAGCGTTGCGGGTGTTGATAGTCACACACCGAATCGAACCCATTTTTGCCCTTGTCCACCCATTAGCACACTGCTCTCTGGCTAGAAGCATTCAAGAAGATACCTGCCTGTGGTGAGAATCGTCTTGGCAAGGCTGATATTCCTTCCAAAAAGTTTGTTTTTTGAAGCAACCTTTGGACAGCCCTTCCGGCTGACCACGTAACAATGGAGGCAACCTCGCGGGCTGCAGCACCCTTTGGCCAGGTTTTGACGAGTTGCCAAAAACCCCAAACAAGTTGCGGCAGAAGTACGCTGGGACTGGACGTCACGGAGCATTTTTGAACAGCCCGTTGCGCGCTCTGTGACGTATACTATCCTGTCTTGGTGAGAGTTCACTCGCGGTCTCCATCTTATACCTTGCCCTCAAACGCATGAAAGTTTCAAGCCTTTTGCGAAGTGACGCAGGGCGATGTGTCTATCTAGCTTTATTCGCCCGACCATTCGTTTTTTGGTCAGGGCAATGGTTTAGACCCAACCCAGGTTTGTATTTGTCAGTTTTTTCTGTCAATCGACTTGGCGTGCATTTGACAACCGCGTTCTGCTGAGGTTCTGATGTGTGTTTACTGTTTCAAGCTCGTGACACAAGCAGGCCCTCCCCACCACCGTCGATTTTTTTTTTTGCGTGACGATGGCCTGGCTGAACAGTCTAGCGGCTCCCTTTGAATGAGGTGAACGACGTCACGCTTCATATCAGGTTCTGTACACCCTTTGCAATGATTTTCAATGGATATTCCTTGCAGTCATCATAAGCCCTTGTGATACCAGGCGACTGATATTTTCACAGCTTCATGGTATGTGAGATTGAAGCATGTTTGGTTGCAGCTTCGATTCGCTGCT